ATATATATATATATATACACTTAAAGTTGCTGTCAAGCATTTGTATTGATGTATATTCCAAGAATAGAAAGTGAAATTGAGCAGTGGAATTAATAGCTAATCAGTAAACAGCTTGCTGTCCTTTTCTGTTGCTTTGTAAATTGTGTATGCTTGTTGGTATCAGCATTAGAGCCAGGGATTGCGCCTTTTTTTTAGGCTCCGGTTGTTCTTGTATTAGATTGTTCTGTCCATGACAAATTGTTGCTGACAGCGGCTGAGCTCCAGCAGTTTAAGCAGTATTGGTGATGACACGCTGCACTAAGAAGTGTTGGTGGTCTATTGGCACAGCAGCGGCTAAGGTGGAAAGTACAGAGGCAGCTAACTGGCTTTCTTCACTGTCTTTCTGATGCGATTCATTTCACAGCGGGCTAATTAGAGAGTGGACTGGCTACCTGGAGCTGCCTTAATGTACACTATCATGGTAATCAGTCCAAAGTCTCATTACCCTCTTTCCAAAATGATCTGGGGTATTAATTAAATATAAAAATGACACTCTGTCATTGCTGAAAGGAAAACCCAGATTAACATTGTTAATTACTGCGGAGGGCAAAGCCTCAATTTCAGTTTAATGTTGACCTGAAATCCCCAGTTGGTGGAGAAATCAAAGGAGCTAACTCATAGGATGTCAAGTCTCCAGCTTGTTTGCAGAAAGAGGACCTGTTTCCATCTGCAGCAAAAACTTTACATACTCCTAGCCTGTGCACAGAACAGGTCTAATGCCCATAATGCATATTCATGTCTTTCTATGTCATGTTATATATAATAGGGGAATTAATCAAAATTGGAGCAATAAGCATCGATCTTTAATTTTCAAATCTTAACTAAATAAACTGAAGCTTGAAGCTGGTCGGTTACTAAGGGCAAATGCACCAGATTATGTCTGCTCCAGGTTTGATACATTCTCCCCAACAATTAGCAAGATCAAATGAGATCTGGCCATATGTTGAGCAATATGCTGCAGAACTGAGCAGAGCATCCTTTTTTAAGCCTGGGGTCAGTTAAAAAAAAAAACATTCAATAAAAATCCATCTGCAGCTGACCTTTGATCTTTTCAATATCCTACATGCTGACCATGTTAAAAGTTGCGTGAGTCATGAGTGTTGGTCATGCCAGGTAACCACGCCTGGCAGTTCGTTTTAGGACAGGCAGTTGGGTAAATCAATTGACTTGGTGCAGAGAAATTGCCCCATGCAATACAGGTATCAATAACTGGCATTTCAATGGGGCTCCTTATAATACTGTTATATTTCTCCTAAAAAAAAAGTAATCTCCATAACCATGATGTTTCAGTGGTTCCTCTGCTGTATTTCTGATAGAGTTTAATCCCTTGAAAAATGTGAGCAATTTTCCACTGTAATATGCACTCTGCCTCCAGCCCCAGCTAACTGTATTGTTGCTTGAATGTCACTGATAAGGGATCAAAGGGGAGCAGTAATGTGCATGTGACACCTTCCGCTCTTCTGTGTCTTTTCACATACAAGCTCTCGTTGGTTTTTTTTTTGGACATTCAGGCGCAATGTATTTTCAGGAAGGGGTTAATAAGCCACATTAATGTGGAGCACCTGTCAGCGGAACACCCCTACTGTCCACTGGGGTGAACTAAACCCAAAACAACAGTTAGTAACCAAATCAGATGACTGAAAATGAATTAGCCTGCTCAAACACTAGTACTTGACTGGAGCAAATCCCTTTAATTTTACGGTCTCCTAATTCTGAGCTCGCAGCCTCCTTTGAACCATGGTAATATTGCTGATTTTAAAGGGCACACATCATCACATCATCCGTCTAGGGATGACTTCCATTTGTCATTTCCTTGTAGGATACAGCAAAGCTGAACTCGAACCAGGCTTGAAGGCAGTTTAGATATTGACAGTAAAAGCCACATTATAAGTAACTGTAAAAATAAAACAGAAAATATTTATATTTAAAAATCTTCAGCTTTGCATAAACGTGTAACGGTGTTTCTACATTAGGTGGGCAGATGAGTGTAACATACTACTGCATAATAAGCCCTCATTCACACCTAGCATTTAGTAGCGTCTTTTCTGCCCTAAAAAAAGTTTAAAAAGAAAACACCCGGAAAAAAAAAATCCTATTTATTTTTATGGCCGTGTTGACATTGGAGCGTTTTTATCGCTTGTAGCAAAATGCACATCACTGTAAAAAAGTACATAAGCTTCTCTCAAGAAGTGCAGATTAAAGTAGAACTATGGGGTAAGTGTTTTTCCCCATAGTTCTCCTAAGGGTCACGGGAGGACACAAACTAGCGTCCTCCCGTGACCCTAAGCTCAGTATACCGCGAGCTACAGCTGTCGAGATCTACCCAACTGCGTGATTGACAGCTGGTTCTGCCTATCTAGAGACAGAGCCAGCTGTACCCGCCCCCTCCCCATCCATTCCGCCAGTCAGTGCTGGAGGATCGGAGCAGGGAGGGGGGGAATCCCTGCAGGGAGCTGTGAGTGACAATCATGGCTCTCTGCAGGGACATGATCGAGAAGTGAGCGAGCGACGGTATGTGTTCGCTCACTTCCCGACCTATTGAGCTAACGTGTGACAGTCTCATTGTCACAGGTCGGCTCGAACTATGAGGTTGAGTGAAAATCACTCACAGTTCTCCTTTAAGTGCTTCTTGGCCTCATTGACTTCAATGGAAACACTAAAAAACTGCAGTTTGCTGCGTTTTGGGGCGTTTGCTTATTTACATCAATGTGTCACAATGTGCTTGCAAAAACGCGTGACTTAATGTATGTGCATAAAACGTTTGCAGAAACGCGCAAAAAACGCGCAGCAAAAACACACGTAGGAACGACCGAAAAAGCTGTCGCCTACGTGTGAATGCAGCCTGAGGGCTTGTTCACACCATCCCTACACCAGATCTGGATCTGCAAACACGGTTATGTGCATTTTTGACACCTTTTTGCCGAGTTCCAGTGGATTTTGTTTGGTCCCGCTTGGTTTTGCCTGGGTTTTAGGCATGATCAAGTGCGTTGTGGTGCATTAACATGCATTTGTGTGCATTCCAGAGCAGAATAAATGCAGCATGCGGGACCTTTTTAAAAAGGTCTGGAACTGAACGAAGTGGTGTTAACTGGCCTCATTTTTATCATTTACATTAATGTGTATGCATTTTTGGTCCAGATAAAAAACATTCTGGTCTGAAACTGGTCTGGAAATGGTGTGAACAAGCCCTTAAATTGCTTCCTATCCGGGTCTGTTCGACTCAGGGCACAGATTGAGTTCTCTGTTAGTTGAAACTCTTTAACAGGGACTGGAGGCATGGTATTTTGTGGTTTTGGGGTGTGAGCTACTAGTAATCAGCCATTTGAGGTTGAGGAAAGGTTGTCTATGATTCTCCTTTACTGGAACACTAACTGCAGGTGGATCATTGGCTTTGGTCAGGAGGTCACATCACATCTTTGAAAGAAATATCTTCCCTTCTGATGGATGTATAAAATGATTTGATGTATGTGTATAAATCAAAGTGATATGAGGTGATGATGATCTTCTTCATAGGTAGAATCCCTGCAGGGAGCTGTGAGTGACAATCATGGCTCTCTGCAGGGACATGATCGAGAAGTGAGCGAGCGACGGTATGTGTTCGCTCACTTCCCGACCTATTGAGCTAACGTGTGACAGTCTCATTGTCACAGGTCGGCTCGAACTATGAGGTTGAGTGAAAATCACTCACAGTTCTCCTTTAAGTGCTTCTTGGCCTCATTGACTTCAATGGAAACACTAAAAAACTGCAGTTTGCTGCGTTTTGGGGCGTTTGCTTATTTACATCAATGTGTCACAATGTGCTTGCAAAAACGCGTGACTTAATGTATGTGCATAAAACGTTTGCAGAAACGCGCAAAAAACGCGCAGCAAAAACACACGTAGGAACGACCGAAAAAGCTGTCGCCTACGTGTGAATGCAGCCTGAGGGCTTGTTCACACCATCCCTACACCAGATCTGGATCTGCAAACACGGTTATGTGCATTTTTGACACCTTTTTGCCGAGTTCCAGTGGATTTTGTTTGGTCCCGCTTGGTTTTGCCTGGGTTTTAGGCATGATCAAGTGCGTTGTGGTGCATTAACATGCATTTGTGTGCATTCCAGAGCAGAATAAATGCAGCATGCGGGACCTTTTTAAAAAGGTCTGGAACTGAACGAAGTGGTGTTAACTGGCCTCATTTTTATCATTTACATTAATGTGTA